TTTTGTTTCCAGTCCTTCTGCATTCCCTTCCTTGTGCCTTGTCCAAATCACAGTATTAAAGAGATGACTTTGCAGTTTTGCAAAGTTCTTGAAACTTTCATAATACTCTTCAAGCTCCTGTGAGGCTGTTTTGGGCACTTCAGTTCTGGTTTTAATATTGCAATTTAACATATTTACTGCTTTTATGCAATGTGAGCTCCTGGTTATAATAAAAAGAATTCCTCACAGCTCTTTGTGTTCAAACTTGAAACACAAAAAAACTCATAGACTGGAAACAATGTCTTAGGTTAAACTGGATCAAATCTAAAACCATACAAATATTGGCTTTAGAATGGAGAGGGAGATCTCAGAAAAATGCACGCATGCTGCTGATGTGTTCTGAGATTTTTCTGAATGCCTTTGTCTTTACACTGCCTTGAACTTTTGAAGTGAAAAAGGACTTGTACCACAGTTCCAAATGAAACTTGCTGTATACTGGTTTTGGATTGTGTTAACAAGGCTCTTATGTTTTGGGGTTTTTTCCTGTTTCTGTGGGACTTGGTTTCTGAGATTCTCAGCTAGTAATAAAGTGGGATTTAATATCATATATCACATGTGTTCTGAAGATTTCTCAAAGTTTTTAAGACTTTTTTATTTTGGGTGCATAGTGTATAATTACTCTAAATTATTTTGGTTGATATCAAATTAAGATATTTATGTATAGGAAATGTATTATTGCTTTGTTAAGTACGTTTCTTTAATTTTGCTTTTTTTGTTCCACTTTGCTTGGGTTTTTTGCCATTTTTGGTAATTGGAAATGAATGAAAGCATTTGAGTAACTTTTCCACTTATACACTTAGCAGGGTGTGTTCACTAAAGCTACATTTGTGCCAAGTCTGGAATTTTACTTAGTATGTCTGTTTTTCTGAATCAATACCAAGGGAGCTAAAAATAATGGCCTACTCTAAACTGGGAGTGAGAACCCTTGTCCTAGATAAGACAGAGACCTGAAATTCTTTGGCCAGAAGCCAACATTTCTTTTTTTTATAAGGAAATAGTTAATTGGGCTGTAGATAGATTTCTGACAAACCAGAGTTAAATGACAGTTAATCAGCTTGACTTAACCAGCCTCCAGAGCTGGTTTTGTGTAACGTCTTGGAGACCAGAATTGTGTGGAGACTTCTTGTCCAGATGTGATCTCCTTCAGTAAATCAGAAAAGATCCTGAAGTCAGCCTGGTGGTGCTTTTTTGGAAAGAAGTAGAACTTTGGTTCAGTCAAACAGAGTAAGAGTGGGTGAGAATTTGCTGATAAATGTATTGTGCCATCATTGGTGACTTGGTTCAGATAATGCCTCTGTGAAATGGAAATGTTTTCAGCCATGGCAGTTGCTGAAAATTGAGTTTTGTAAACTACCTTTATATGATGTGTGTGTGTTGGGTTATGCTTTTGTGTGCTGACATCATCTGCATTTTCTGCCACTTCAGAGCTGTTGATACTATCACTTTCTGAACTCCAGAAAGTGTTTCCATCACATTTACTGTTTAAAAGTTTTATCTCCCAGTGTGACACACATTTCAGGTAGTATGTCCCTGGCAAAGAAAATTCCTTCCAGAATTTCAAATCATTACTTCAAGCAAAGGGGATAGGAATCATCAGAAGTATTAAATGACAGTGCTAATATGGCCTTGTTCAGCAACACTTCACTTTGGGTTTTTATTTCATTTGTTCATTAGGCTTAGGTTACAAGATTCTTAAAAAGAAAACAGGGATTCTTGTCTCCCTCGTAAAAGAATTTGCTCCCTGTGACTTGTTTTGGGTGGTTGGTTTTTATAGACTGAGATTTTTTGCTAGATTTCTCATGGCACACTTCTACTCATCAAAGAGTATTGCCTTACCAGGGTGTCAGTTTTCAAGTCTGCCAGCTTTAAAGTTTTTCTTAAGATCCAAGCAGACATTTCAAAGTGATTCAAGGATGCAAAAAGTACTCTCAGTACATTTGAAAGCTTCTGAAATTTAATCCCTTAAATGCTTAATTAGCTTGTTGCAGTTTGGCATATATTGTAAATTTTTATACCAAATGTTTCATTTTGGCAAAGAAAAGGGCTGCTTACTGGCAAAAAAAGCAAATTTGACATTGGGGAGGCTATGCCTCCTATTTAGACTAGTTCTATTTAGGCATTGAATGAGAAATCCAATACCTGCACTGCTTGCACCATGCATTAATTAAATACTCAGGAAGCAGCTATTTCAGTCTCTCAGAATACATGCTTTATACTGGCTTAATTTTAACCATTTTGATCAGCTTATGTCTAGATGATTTCTAGTACCATTTTAATTCCTACATCAGTGATTTGTGGTTTGCTGTGTTCTGTCTGCACGCACCAGTTACTCTAGCTGAAAACAGGCACCAAAATTCTACTTCACAGCTAACTCTTAGGTGATACTGAACTGCTACCTTATGACACCTAGAGTTTGATAAAAATTTTCATCCTTAAGTATAATGTTTAGTCTTTACTAACATTTGATATGAGTGGTGTTTTACAAATTCTTATGCTTTGTTCTCCAAGTACTGCTGGGCATATAGTAAAGTTTCTAAGAATATATGGGTATATATAAATTTTCTTTTGCTTGTAGAGCTTGTGTTTATATAGCAAGCTGTTTTTATTAAAGTTCTCTACAAAGTTTCTCACTCTTTGGGAGAATTAAATGCTAGCAGAACTTGTGATCAGCTGTTTTAGTGAAAAGATGGTGTAGTGACTCGCTCTGTGCAAGAAATTGGATGAACTTTCTCACAAAGTATATTTAACTTGAAACAGCCTGTTCTACTGTGACTAAGTCTTCTGGGCCAAAATATTTTTTTTTTATGTTGAACTAGAATTAGTTTGACCTCAGACATCTTACTCACAAATATAATTTAACATTATGCTACTCCTTCGCTGCGCTGCTGAGAGGATTGCATCAGTTACAAAATAAAACATGACTAGTTATGTTTTTGTTGCCTTGCATGACTTCGAAACTGGGGAAAAAAGCCACAAATCCAGCTTCTTAAACTTTTTCTATGCTAGTTTAGACTCCATAGAAATTCAAATCCTGCTTGTAAAAAGTTTAAAAATACATGTTTTTCTTCTCCAGATAATGTCTCCCACGGCATTGTTTTTGGCTGCAAAAGTGGAAGAACAGCCACGGAAACTTGAACATGTTATTAAAGTAGCAAATGCATGTCTTCATCCTCAAGAGCCACAACTGGATACAAAGAGTGATGTAGGTGGAAGTTATGGTTTCAAAGATACATGGTTTGAAATATGACATTTCATCTAATGATTTGTTACATTGTCTTGCTGGATTATTGCTGTCTGGAGCCTATTAAAAAAAAAGCCTTTGTTTTTACACCATATAAGTCTTTCTATTACTTAATGCACTTTCTTAAAGACTCACTTATTTGTTATGAAACTTGAAGAGATTGCTCCATCTTGAAATTTTTAGGGCACCCACCTGACCTCCCAGAAATGCTTTGCTGGAATCGATTGTCTGAGATCCAGACCAAGTTAATCTTCCAGCGAAAGGCAGGCAGGTGGACCTGAATTTGTAACAGTGCTTGTACTGTTGGAAGAAAATGACCCCAGTGTGAAGTGAACTGTCAGTGCTCACTGGCTGGCTACTGGTCTCATGTGGCCAGTGCTGTACCAGAGGGAGTGTGTGAATGAAGTTCTGAGGAAATCGATGGCTGTGTCTTCACCTCTCTGCTTGTTTGTTTCAGGCATACCTTCAGCAAGCCCAAGAGCTGGTTATACTTGAAACAATAATGCTTCAAACTTTAGGTATGTCTTTCTAAATACCTCCTGTGCAGCTAACCTGCCATGAAGAAAGAGCTAATGGGACCCAAATAACTGGATTTTTGATGGGCTATTTGTACACTAGAATTTAACTGTTTTCCTGTGTAACTTCTGACCTGTGAATTTAGTTTTGTGTTAGCAGTTCTGCTGTGTTCACTGCAGAGAAGAAAGGTGTGTCTGTACTTGTGAAAGAGATGTTTCTGACAGTTTGAGTTAGAAATGTGTAGGCTTCCAAATAGGTTTTACTCCAAGTTGTAATTACATTGACATTTCTTCCCATAAAGTAACATGGTGTTGTAGGCTGTGGCTGTGTGTGTAAACTGAAGCAGTTGGAAACAGCTTTGTATCCAATGCTCTTCCCCATTCTGTTTTTCCATAGCAGGATATTATGTAATTGAGCAGCTGCTGAGTTTGAACAGCACAAGTTGTAGTGTAGCCATTTAATGGATTCAGATGATTCCAAAATTTGAAGTGGAATGTTCTGTCAAGGCACTCTTCTGACTAAAATACCACAGAGACAATTACAGCCAGAGGCCTGAGAACACTGACTTGCTCAGATATTCTTAAATACCACTTGGGGTATTGTTAAAAAAATAGCTCACAGTAGTGACCTAATTCTTAAAACAGTGTCATAAACCAAGAACCGTTTCTTAAGTCACTGATCTACAAATGGACTTAATTCTGATTTCATACATGCAACATGTTTAAGTGCTAGAAATCAATTAATTAAAGTATACATGCACGCACATATTTCATTGTGTTTGCAGTACAGTTTTAACTGACAAATTTTTAACTTGGTAGAAGTTGTTCAGATATAGCCAGCTTTGAAAAGATAGTAATTTACCAATTCATGTGTGTACAGGATTTGAGATTACTGGAGGTATATTTTAGTAATGGATTACAAAGTGGCTTTACCATCTGCCATTCAAAAGTATGAATAGGTAAAGAAAAAAAGGTACTTAAATTGTGTTACTTATTCTGCAGTTCAAAGGTTTAGCAAGTATTTTAGGTCTGCGGGGGAACTTCAGGGGTTTGCTTTTTATTTTACAGATGCAAGTGTATAATTCTAAAATGTTTTTGTAACTCCTCAGGTTTTGAGATTACCATTGAACATCCACACACAGATGTTGTGAAATGTACACAGTTAGTGAGAGGTCAGTGACTTTTAACCACTTCTGTAAGTCCTTTTTTAACTTTCTAGTAAAATTTGAAAGTAATGTCTAATATGATTTTTCACCAATTATGTTATCCAAGTATGTTTAAAATTAATTATTAAAAGTTTGATCTTAACCTTTAGAGATTCATAGAGTCCAGTCTTCTGTCCTTCATAATTTTTTTGTTTTCTTATTAGCTTTGATTTTAACAGTACCTGTTCTGTATGTTCTGGAATGACAGAAGCAGTTGCAAACTGATTGGCCAGATCCATAGTGTCATTCTGAGCTGATGATTTTCACTCTGAAGTAGTTTTACCCATTGATGGCTAGTGCCAGCTTTTTGTCTTAGAAACTCTTCAAAGGTAATGGACTGAGGGATAGAGAGTGCATAGCAAGTTGGCTGTCACATGCAAATAGGTGTGACTAATTGTTTTTCTGGAGCAGTGCGTCCTTACATGTTCTGGATGGTAGCACAAAACCCCAAGCCTTTAGTTAAACATATCCTGTACCTTGTATGCAGCTCACTAGTGTGACTGGCTAGAAACCTGTTTTGTTCTCTGTATTTTTTGTGGCATTTTGGCACATCTTCTTTAATTCCTGAATTGGTTTCTTTTGGAGCTTTAAAAAAAGATTAAAACACCCCCTTATAAGATGTAGGATGAAAAAAATTAGGAATCAGTTTTAAAAGCATCTAAAATAAGCTTTTCAGTTTAATTATGTTTCTTAAGGAAAAAGTGTTGTGAAATGATTAGAAATGTTAGTCATTAGCTGGTTTTGCAGTGAAAAAGGCTTAAGTGCTTCGAAGTTTTCGGTGTTTTTTCTTCTCCCTCTAAAAAATACATGAAAGTTAGGTACAACCTAATCCTGTTAATTAGATTTGGTCTGTAGTAACTCTGGAATGAATGGTGTTCTTTTAAGGAAGAGTGTCTTATTGCTGTAGCTTCCTGCTGTAGTGTCTTCAGTTTTATTGCTATCCTTGATATGAGATAGTGATTCTCTGCTTTCTGCCCAGATTTGGTTGTGACTTGGTGCGTGACTCCAGTTGCACCTGAAGTCTCAGTAGTCTGCACCAGCTGCTCTGTAGAGTTTTGCTTTGGTTTTTCTTAGCTGTTGGTCACTGTAAATGTGAGCACATTTTACTGTTTTGGGGAGCCCCTGTGCTTCTGTTTGGTTTTTGGGGCTGTGGGGAGGGGTGGGGGCAATGTATCGCCTCAAGATTTCCACATCAGTGTGTGTCACTCAAGCTTACAGGCACACTGCTACACAAAATGGATTTCCTTTTGTCAAGGGTAGATACCACTCTGAGGCAGTTCAGCTTTTCCCTCTGTGTTTTGTAAGCTAATTTTTTGTACTGACAAAATTCATACTTTGAAGATACTGTGAATTTTTTAATTTGACATCTTTAAACTAATATTTCATTTTATTTAATAATTTAAAATATTCAATGACATTTAATGTTAGCAGGCTTGAAAAAATACTTAGAAGTCTAAAGTGATGTCAGGTCTTGAAATCTGAAGACTTCAGTGTGGGCTGAAAGCCCATGTAGCTCAAGGACTGGTGCACAGTGAATGTAATGTCTGATGTTTGAAAACCTGCTCACTGAGGGAGGTGTGCTCCTTAGTGTGTGTGTATATGGAATCCTTGGGAGTATGTGTCCCTAGGAATGGTGTAGACTGTGGGCACAAGATTTGAATACCTCATATTAAAATAAGAAAAAGGAGCCTAATTAATTAATTTGAAACATAAGGCATGAAATGTGAAGTCATGCGTGCAAGTCAGGCGAGGACAGAATAACTGCCATGGACCATTGGTTTTGTGTTGAGAGGACAAAGAGATGGGGCCATAGGCACAGTGATTATCTTCAATGACATGGTGGTAGTTTTCTACCCTGAACATTTATTTATTGGACAGTGTAGGTTTTCAATGTCAGTAGATGCAACACTCAGACATCTGAGACCCGAAGCTTTCGAAATTTACCTGAGATTTGTCAGTGTTAAACCTTTAGTGTTAGAGGGATTGACTGAGAGGTTAGAGAAATCCAAGGTTACTTCATCCAGTTCTGGTAATGTCATCTTGGACAAAAAGCACCATTTCAGAAGGCAGAGATACCTTTTTTGAATAAAAGTGATTAACTTATCCAAGCCTGTTGTGATTAAAACCTCCAACTGCATGTTTGGAGAGAGGAGGAAAGAAGTAATGTAATGTCTGACAGAGTATCAAAAAAAAAGGCAGTAAAGTTAGCTGAGGTCTGCAAGTGTAGACTTGGGGGTTTGTGCACTGCATTGTCAGGTGGTGAGAAAGGGCCCTTTGGCTGACTAAACTGCAGTGCCCCAGAGGATGGCTGATTCTCTCCATCACTTTTTTGCTGTCTTGCATCCAGGGTAGTTTGTTTTATGCAGTCAGTGTTACCTGTTATTAAGCTGTAAGCTATCCCCTTTAAAAATAAAATGAAAAAATAAAAACCCAGGTTGTGTTGATGATGCTCAAAAATTTCAGCCAAGTCCTTTGTCAGAAGACTGTCTAGTCTGGCAGTGGCACACCAGAATCAATTTCTGGAAGCTGAAGATGAACTAGTGGAAATTGGTGCAAATAAATATAATTGCTTCAACATACAACTAAAGAAAAAAATGAGTTCTTCTCTAAGATTGAAAGCCTTTTTGAAGGTGTTATTAGACAACACAGATCCTTGCAGAGAAGGGGTGACTGGATGGATAGATAATGATTCATGATGTTCAGACATACAATATCTATTTACTCCCTCTGTGTTCAGAGACTCATGGGTTAATGAAATTGTTCCATCTTTGCAGTTTGGTCAGTATAGCAGACAAGGAAAATGGTGTGGGCTTAGTATTTTTTCTGCACCATTCTTCCTCAGTGTCAAGAGACTGAGAAGAGGAGACAGGACCATCATTCCTTAGGATCCCACAGGTCCAAGGAATCTGAAGGCAGTGGATATGTGAGGGCCTGTCAACAAGCTTCAGTGCCCATTCCAAGAATACTCCAGTAGTGAAGAGAAGAAAGGAAAAAAGAAAAGGGGGGAAAACCCCCACCAAAATACCAAAAACTGTTCTGGCTTTGAACCTTGCTGCCTTCAACATTAGCTGAATGATCAGCAGTGAAACTGCCCTGGTGCCAAGACTGTGGCACGGTCCTCTTAAACTGTGGTGCAAAATCAGTCTGTTCTCAGCCTGCTTCTGGTGAGACTTGGAATCTGTATCCTCATGTCCATCTTGGGAAGTCTTCAGTCACTCCTTTCTCTGTGTTGGAACACAGCCTTTTGGAACTGAAGATGAGATCTCAAGGATTTCTAGGATTGTTCTCGCTACACTGCAGGTTATCAGGTATCTTGAACACCCATGATCCTTACTAATCTTTTGTGGAAATTGCACTGTCATATCCTTCAAATATCCCATAGTATCTGTATGCACATGCCATTGCTTAAATCAGGCTGAGAAAGACAAAGTCAGCAGAAGAGGAAGTGAAAAATGCTTCAGCTTTTTCAGAGGCTATTCTCATGAGGAAAAATTAAATCTTAATGGTGTGGAAAGATGTGAAACACCAGCTGCACTCCAGCACTGCTACGGGCGGCCTTCCCATTCTGAACTTTGACCTCAGGCTTTTATGGGCCTGTTCCCAAGCCTTCAGTACTTTCAAGAAAGCAAAGCCACCAGGACTGCTCAGACCTGAATGCTTACACCATGGCCTCCTCCAGCCCTTTCCAGATACAACAGGCACCCTCCAGCATCCCTTTGCTCAGAGCCTGGGGCTTTTTGCTTTTGCCAGAAGGACTTCAGCAAGCTTCTCTCTTCTGATGCTGACTGGCTTATCTGCAATCTCCTCTTCCTGGGGAATGCTCACACATTGTCAGGGTTCAGGCATAGCCAAATACCATCTCCTAATGGGGACTTGGCAGTCACATTTTCATGAGCATCCCAAGATCCAAGATAAGCTATGTTGAAGAAAAGACTCGGGTATCTTGGAATTGCAAGCAGTTGAATTGTGTGGCTATGCCCAATAAAAAGCTTTTTGGTTTCCAGTTGGCAGTTTCTTGGAGACAGCCTTTCAGGAGGTGTGTCAGACAGAAAGTCCTGTTTCAAAATATTGATGACTGTTTCACTGATCCCAGTCTTATGGCTGCTTCTGCAACAGTGAGACAGAATGGATGTTTTAAATCACTCCTGAATGCTAAAATTTAAACTGGTCATTCATGGCTGGTGTCGTAGCCATCGGTCCTGCGGCTTGTGAGTTATAAGAGCAGCTCTGCTGGCTTGTTTTAGCCTCTGCTTCAAGATGATTTAAATTTTGGAGATGCACTTTCCACTACTATAATGGGAATAAACCAACAAAATATAGGAACCAAAATTCATTAGATTTAATTTCACTGATGGATTCTGCTAAACCAAAGCTGCCCTACATGGAACAATTTGGGACAGATATTTTCAGTTGTGCCTTGTGTTATCAAAGGCTTTAGTTGTGAGCTGAAATTTCTTGTTGCTTTTGGCAGTAATTATTATTTAGCTGTAAATAAGTTGAAACAGAATCATACTACTTATAGTACAGATTTATTTAGCACAGTAATTTTTGATTACGGCTAAAATGTGTGTTTCAAGATGTGATTCTTTTCTTCCAGGTATGTGTTTTGATTTACTCATCTTTCAAGCTGATGTTAAATAGAAGTTTTCTGGCATCTGCTTTTCTTCCTTATTCAAAAGAGACATTTCAGTGAGAGTAGAGATGCTTCTTGGTCTTGCTCCTTTAATTCAAACATGTAACTTTACAGAGTATATAAACCATTGAAGATCCTTTAGGCATTGCTTTGATGAAAAATGAAGAGCAAGACATCAATTTCAGTTTTACTCAACCATTGTGTATTTTTATTTGTTATGACAGTCTCATCTCACCTTTTTTTTTTTTGGTAATTCCACCTTATTTTATTTTGGTTGGGAAGGAGAGGTTGAACTCCTTAGTTTTTTGGCATGCAATTACCATTACAGCGTGCAAACTAAATATTATAGCATAACACATTGTCAGTTCACATTTTGATTATTATGGATTAGTAGAATTTGTGTGTAGGAACAGATCCTGTTACCTTGCAACTTCCACATTCTTCTCAGATTATGGCACTACCTGGCTGTGTAGCATAAAGACAAATCTGAATTTTATTCCTTGGCAATTATTAGAAGTTGATTTAAATCACATTTTAATATGCTTTTTAAAAACTAAAGCTAAATTTTAAAAGCCACAGTAGTATTTCTCAAACTTTATAGAAATATTATTATTAAAATTAAAGTTTAACAGTATTGCCTTTGATATAAAATTCAACACTACGCTTTCTGCAGGTAGCACTGATTTCAAGTGATAGTGTCAAAGTAAGAATTCAATGAAGGCTGCATTCAATCTGCGGTTAAACCCCTTGTGCCCAGCTATTCCATTAAATGCATGTTACAGTAAGTTCTCTTACCTGAGTGAGGAGCATTGGGGTGTCACTCTAGGGGCAGCACTCTGTGACTGTAACAGCCCAAATCAATTTTTCATTTCTGGCATGTTGCAGTCCTGTGCTTTGTTTCAGTATTTTTTTTCTGACTAACTCAAATAATTTTGTCTGTTTCCTGTCAAAGCTGTAGGTTTAACAAATAGAGAGCAAAATGTTATGATTACAGTGCTCTTAATTAGAAGGAGCAGAAAACTGATTTTTTTTCCCCACGTAGCTTGGGAGCTTGCTGTGTTCCAGGGCTTTGGGAGAGAGAGGTGGCTGTTTGCAGGGAGGTGGGAGGGTGTCCTGCCATGCCCCTCTCCAAGAGCAGGACGAGCACTGTGCTGGGAATTGGCTGGGACTGCCTGCCTGCTGCACTCCCAGTGAAAGCAGGGATCCCCTGCAGGTGAGGCTGGGGAAGCAGCGCTTCCCAGAGGAGAGTGCTCACCTGTCAGGGGTTGGAGGGATGCATCTGCATCAGCAGAGAGGAGCTGTCCTGTGGGCTGTGCAAGGGGAGGGAGGGGCACTGAAAGGAATGACAGCTCCAGCTCCAGTACTGAGTGTGTCTCAGAAAAGGTTATTTTAAAGGCTATTTAGCTAAAGCCAGATCAGTACTTTGGAAATACCCAGCAGTGATTTTTGGAAGGTAAAACTGCTTAAATTTTGGGATGAACCTGACAAGTTTGCACAGATCTTTAATCTCCCTGTTTTTCTTTTCTTACAGCAAGCAAGGATTTGGCACAGACATCCTATTTCATGGCTACCAACAGGTTGTTATCCTGAACCTCTTTGTTGCACTGTTGTAGCACACTATAGCTTCCTTTACTGCAGGGCCCCCTGATGTGTCTTACCCTTGTTGCAGTGGGGGACTGGGCCACCTCCAGTGGTGGTACCTCCCCACCTGCAGTGCGGTGTATTGGACAAGGGCCTGACGGCACAAAGGGCTTAAATGCACAATGAGAAGTGTAGTGGTGCTTTCTGATGACTTTTTCTCGATTGTGAGTGCATAAGTCTAAAATTGGTAGCCTGAATAGCAGCTAAAGATTACAAAGAGATAAACTTAACCTAGAAATCCGAGCATCTTGGTAAGTACAAAACTATTTTTAGTTTACACTTGTAGTTAATGGCAGTTTTCTCTTAACTTTAAGTATATTGATCCAGTCGTAACTTATAAAATTCTAGTGGGCCTAAGGTATTTTCAACTAGCTGATTTTTCTTTTTAGATAGACTAGTACTAGCCCAGTGTTATTTCTTTTAGAAAGAAATAATATATATAACATATATAACTTATATATAACTTAATATATAGTTTTAAAACTTAAGTACTTAGATAAATTTATAGTTCTAGGATTTCAAGTGGGTGTTTTGTAGACATAGCCTGTCATAGAAAGAATTAGAGAGCAGACTTTAGTCTTGATTTCTTGATTACTTCAATTTTCCTCTTGCAAAACTACTTTAATCTTTATTTAAGAGGATTACATTATGTGTAGATACCATTTTTAAATGGTATCTGCTGGTTATTAGAACTGTTCTAAATAAACAAATAAATCCTGGTGGTTCCTTGATGGGCAAGATTCTGTACTTAAGCAGCTGTTAAGAGAAGTTATCTTAAAGCAGTGAAAGTGAACCAATGTATTCGTGGTGCTGGAAGCTGAAGACAAGGTCACAAATGCAGGCCTGGTGAAAGCAAAGCCCACAGATAAGTCACCTGGCTACTGTGGAACTGCTGGGGGCCTTCTGATTGTCTCATTCAGAGACTGCACCATCAGCTCCATGCATTCCACTGCAGAATTTTAATTCACCATATTATACTGCCCTTTTAAGTACTTAAGTACAATAGATTAATTGGTAAATTTATTTACTGTTCATCAGGCTTTTAATAGCAAAAACAAACTTTTCTACCAGATAAATGTCCTGCCCTTTGTTTTCTTAGGGCAGTAAGATATTTTAGGAACTTACTCAACAAAATGTTTAACTGCTGTTGATTGATAAGCTATCTCATTCTGTATGTTAATGGTTGATTTGTTTGGGTTTTCTGTTTTACATGTTTGATTTCCTTTGGTTCCTCGTTACGAAATTTGTGCAACAGCCTTCATCTTACCACATTCTGTCTTCAGTACAAGCCCACAGTGATAGCATGTGTGTGCATTCACTTGGCCTGCAAGTGGTCCAACTGGGAGATTCCAGTATCAACTGATGGAAAACACTGGTGGGAATATGTAGATCCCTCAGTTACTCTAGAACTACTAGATGGTAAGTCACGCTCCTTTCTCATTTTGAGATTCAAGGATTTATTCATGCAAGGATGGAGCACAGTATGTAGTGAGAGCTTTCAGCTGAAATTAAGTCTCACTGACTGTGTGCTGTATCTTCAGTGAAAGAAACGGGTAGGAGCAGGGAGAACTTCAGAAGACAAACTTGGTTTGGCTGTTGGCTGGGGTGTCCGTATATCTTTTGCCAGAATCCTGCTTTTAAATGCTATTCAGAACCAAGACAGAGATGGAAATGTGTCAGTGCAAATTCATGCAGTCCTGATTGTTTCAGGTACCTCAGTGTTGTTTCAGTGACAATGTTGATAAGGCTGTACATAAAATTGCCATGCTTATGAAGGCAGTTCTGTGTTAACAATTTGGTGTAGCTTGTGGGATCTCAGACTCTTAGTAAGAGGAAAGCATATGCTTAGAACACTCTACACCTAGAATTTTACTGTCTTTTAAGATAGTATTTACTACAGTGGTGTCTGAATTTAAGGGCCAGATGTGCTGCTGTAGTGGAGGTGGGAGCTCCTGGGGCTTTCAGATCTGTGTTGGACTTTGTTGGTCCTGGAGTGAAACATTTGTTTCACATTAGTGGTGGAGATCTCCAGGCTTCAGATGGCCCAGCATTGACGCTCTGTGCCTGCTGCTTTCCTCTGCTCAGCTGTTCTTTCTTAATGGCGCTTTGGGGAGGGAAGGTTTGACAGTGAGAAATTGAGTAGATGTCATGTGAAGCACAGAACTAGAGTGAACTTCAAAGCACAGGTTCAAACATCTCTGTCTTACTGGGCTTCTTTAAGCTGTAGCTGCAGTTCCAAACACCACCCTGGCTTCCTTCCCACCTGCCTGTGGGTTTGTGGCATGGTTTGGATTTGTAAAATCCCCTATGGGAATCTTGTGAGCTCCTTGTGAACATCATTTAATCCTTCAAGCATTTATGGAGCTGGGGTGTTTAATAGACCTGGGTAGACCAAAGAACTGAGACAGTTTTGCACTTTGGGAGCAGGTTAGGTTATAATTTGTGTGTGGAATTCTGGAGAATCCAGTTCTTCCAGGTCTGTAAAAGATGTACTTTGCATTCAAATTCTCACTGTACCCAGTTATTTTTAGCTTATGACTAGAATTAAGTCTCAATGAAAAGTATTTTTATTTGCAGCTGATAAGCATGGAGACCTGTGTTATCCTGTGGGCATACTAAGTGTAAGAATCTTTGTTTTACTAACACAGCCAGCTACTCCACCTTGAACCTAAATTATTTCAGAGCTTTTGTTTGAAACAGAATCTTTCCAAGGGTCTGATGGCTGTGGTTTGTACAGAGCTGATACTGGTTGTTCCTGAAGTTTGATGGAACAACCATCAACTGAAACAGTGACTTAGAAATTTTTACTTTCAAGGAAACTTAACTCCATACAGAAAATGTACAGGCTGAATGGCAAGTATATTATTTTAGAAACTGTTGTTTCTATAGTTCTTGGTGTAACAAATCCAGGTTGTCCAAGAGTAAAAAGAAAATAATACATTTTTTCAAAATGTGTCCAGTGGTCAGAAGTCCATCCCAGTGGAATACTGTAGACTTTCTTGTTCAACACTTGCCTAACAATATTTTTATTAAAATACTAATTTAGCTCATGCACAAACTGTAGTATCTGCTGCAAAAGCTTCACGACCTAAGTCTAAGTTTTACCTTTTATAACACAATCAGGTGTAAAAATGGCTTTTCTTTTTCTTATTCAGAGCTAACTCATGAGTTTCTGCAAATACTGGAGAAAACACCTAGCAGGCTCAAGAGAATTAGAAATTGGCGGGTAAGAAACGTTCCTGTAACAGTGTCTAGCAAGGAAAATTGTTAACCAGGGAAAAAAGTTTAGTTATGATGTACTTGCTCTTTATTCCTGTGTCTGGGTTAGGAGGTGGTGAAACCTTGAGCCAGCTTTTATCCTCACCTCTGAGCTAAATTTGCATGGACTGTACAAGTATTCTAAGATGTATTTTCTCACTTCTTTCTTTTTTGCTTAGGCTAATCAGGCAGCTAAGAAACCTAAAGGTGATGGACAGGTATCTGAGAACTCGCTTCTTGGTTCATCTTTGGTCCAGAATTCCATTTTGGTGGATACAGTTACTGGTGTAGCTGCAAACACAAGTTTCCAAAAACCATCAACATCATTTCCTGCACCAGTACCTCTGACCTCAGGAAGTATTTCTGTTCCAGACAGTCACACACCTGAAAATTTGGCAATATTAGCTACAGGAATGCCAGGTACCTCATACAGTTTGGCATCACACCAGGAATGGCCTCAGCACCAAG